GTGTTAATGTGCAGTTTGAATCTTGGCCAGGTCACCAGGACAAGGTCCCATAATATACAAACAACTTATAGTACTAATAGATACAAAATAAAACATTTATTTTATTCACAATTCATTAAAATTGGTTCCAGATTCAGTCATACTGCAGTTACGATTTAAATCTTGTATCTTAAAAATATAACGTAATATTACATTTAATCCTTATAGTTAAAGTATTCATCCATGGTATAAATGAGTGAAGAAATAAAAAAAATTTTAATACCAATTTAAATTGTTCAGCATTTTGAGATATCTCCTTTATTGTGGCTGGTAAGCCATTAAATGCCTTTATTCCTGCATAATAGGCCCCCTTCTGAAAAACTGTCAGTTGAGATAGCGGTTGATGTAAATCATATTTTGCCCTAGTATTAACATTGTGAACGGCAGAGTTTGTCTCAAAATAATGTCTATTATTGATCACAAATAAAGAGAGTGAATAAATTTATTGTGACTTTAATGTTAATATTTTTAGTTCTCTAAAATGTTTCCTACATGACTCTCTACTTGTAATCCCCTTAATTATTCTTATAGCTTTCTTTTGTAATCTAAAAATTAAGTCACTATGACAAGTATTTCCCCAAAATATTATCCCATAGGTCATGATCGAATGAAAATAAGCATAGTATACCATTCTTACTACTTCCTGGGACAGGAGAGGCTTTATTATTCTTATTGCATAGCAGGCTGAGCTTAGCTTAGATACAATTAAGTCTATATGAACCTTCCATGAGAGAGTATTATCCAGTATTAATCTGAGGAATTTAGTATTATACGCATTAGTTACTGTATTTACGCATGTATAGGCCGCAGCACAATTTTCAGACAGAAATTATAGAAAAAATAATTTTCTTGGAATATTATTTCAGGAGTAGAACACCCTGTATTACTAACTATGAATATAATTTTTTTTTAAATGAAGTGTGATTTTGAATATTTCGAATATAAGCTGCACCCCAGTTTTCCTCTTGAATTTTTGGCAAAAAATGTGCAGCCTATACATGCGTAAATATGGTATTTTCTTATTTTCGTTCATTATATTTAATTCAATTAATTAATGATTTCATATAGTGTTTACTGCTGATCTTAAAACTAAATTTATAGAATATTGTAATGAATTAACTCTCTAGCTAAACTACCTCAACTTTTCAGCTGAAAAGTGTATTCAATATGAAAGGAAACTTGGGACGAAAGCGACAGATAAGCGCATTTGTGGTGACAGGAAACAAGAATGGGTCAGCTGGAATTGCACTTGGCAAAGCAGTGGAATCCAAAGCAGCTCTTCGGAAAGCAAAGAACCGTGCAGGCCAAAAGATGGTGTACATAGAAATATTTAACAATCATACGGGTATGTTTAAGTATTTTATGTATATATGTGTATGTGAACATACACTCATTCACAAGGATATCCCAATAAATGACTTCTCCAGTTTGTGAAGAGATGTAGACTGCCAGTGGAGTCCTGGTATAGAAATTGTAAAATCCCCAGTTACTAGTCTGACATAGTCCAGATTGGCTCTTGGGTCCAACCTCTTATTAAATGGGTAGTGGGGGCTCTTATCCCAGGGGTAAAGTGGCTGGGGCATGAGGCTGACCACTCATCTTCAACTAGTGCTGATATGAAGAAAACGTGGGTCTATGACTGATTCTTTAACACTTTTAAAACTGCAGGCATGTGTATGGTTCAGTGATATGGGGAAGATGATCATGAATGGTGATTTAGAATGAGGTGGTATGATTGAGGGCACTTTTGTAGCATTTGCCTGGAGGGACTCAGAATGCCATAAAACCCTCAGTCAGGGTAAGGAAATGAGATTCAAACCAGGCACATACAAATTCACAGAATTACTGCTACCCCAGCTTGGTATGAGAATAATGAAGGTTGAAGAGAGGTAGCTGCTGGTAAACTGAGAAACCTTGTCATCTCTGATATTGCCCATGGGATCTGTGAGTCCAGTTTTCAAATCTGAGGCCCAATCTAACTTACACCTACTTTTACAATAAACATCAGAATTTTGTATTACTTCTGTAGAAGTCAAATTGTTACTTTATCTACTTTCTGAGCATAACAGTGAAATTCCTACTTTAGTCTTATCTGAGGGATAGTGATGAGCCAGGATAGATCCGTTAGTAAACTGACTGGGGTTCATTCTTGACAGGGGCAGAAATTTTCTGTTTTCCATCCAGTTTCCTATCGAGTTGGTACTGACAGCTGTGCCCTCATTGGTGGCCAAATCATCATGTGGATCACTCATCTCCATCTGGTGCTGAGGCTTGGAACTGAACTGCAACACTCCTATATGCCTTCATCACAGACCTCTCCATCTGAGGGGTAACAGCTTTAAACACTGAATAGGATAACATCTTACAGTGTCAAGATCTCTCTTATCAATTATCCTATTGGATACCTTTTTAACCCTTTCGCGCGGTCATTTAAATTCTGCTGTCGTGTCTCTCTGGCGGTAATATATTCAGCCGGCCATTTAAATTTTGCTCGAAAATGATTTATTCATCATTGTTCTTAAATTATATGAGATAGAAACATGAAACTTTCACTAAAATGATCTTAAAAGGTGGTTTTATAACCTTACCTTATAATATGAGTGCCCGGTATCTCGGCAATGGAAGCAGTTGGTTTAGAATTTGAGCAGTGTAGGGTAGGCCTTGAAGCATGAAACTTTCACTAAAATGATCTTAAAAGATGGTTTTATAACCTTGCCTTATAATATGAGCGCCCGGTATCTCGGCAATGGAAGCAGGTGACGCCTTGAAGCATTCACCACACCAATATTGTGTATCTTTTCTTTGGCAGTTTTTTTTTAACCACATCTTCTGTGCGGCCTTGCCTTCTTCCCCATGGGGGGAATACAAGAGGAAATGTCTCTCCATGAGTTGGACTGCTTGCCAGATTAGCTGCAGTAAATTCAACCTTTATGTTATCATAACAAGGGATTGGTGCTTCTGCGTTTCATATTCTAAGATGTCGAAGGGGTGACCACAGAATTCATGAAGTTATTCTAAGAACTGGCTGGTATGTAGTGAACGAAAGTAGAGCTTAGCTGGCTCAAAAAAATATTTATGGTCATCCCTTGGAACGACCACCAAGGTCAGTACGATAAAATGGAGTCAACTGGAGCGATAATACATGAAGGAATGAGTTCTTTTCCCTCCCCCACACACACCCGTATCGTCACAGGGGGTGACCACAGTGTTCTGCCTTAATTTGTGGCGTTTTTCTAAGAACTGGCTGCTATGTACTGTGCGAAATCAATCGATCTTGCAAGAATAAAATTTGGACATCCCTCTTCTAAGAATTCCAATTGAGTGTGTTAGTGTGGCCAGCTCAGGGCAATATGATATTATAAACACAGCACATATCACGTCTCTGCTGTTTATAAATTCATAGGAAAGGAAAACACGCCATTCATAAACGTAGAACGAATAAACCGCTCGCAATAGCCACAGGAACTTTGCTGCAAGACAGGCATATGTAACGATGACTTAGCGCTCTTAAACTCCTGTCTCATTATAAACCGTTCTTGTGACAACAGGCCAGCGAAGAATCTAACAATCTACAGCAAAACCATCAATTATTATGGGCGTTATAATATAGGTGTGCAGCTGGACGAAACATAGACGTCGAACCCCTGCAGACAATTTAAATACCTGACGAAACATACACGTCAAACCACGCTGAACGGTTAAGTGAATCAGATGCATGCAAACCAATCAGTCACAGGTTACTTAAATAGGACATTTTGCATTTTATTATAAGAAAAATTATGCAGGTCTGTAATGATCTGTTTCAAAATTCTGTACTGAGCTTGGTAATTCAAATGATGAGCCCAAGAATGGTGAAGACAGCAAAATGATGTTCTACAGAATGCATTACAACACATGTGGAGCCTGTTAAATATAGTGATTTCTCATTATTAACAGAATTTCAATAATGAGGTCTTAATGTACAGCGTTTCTGTAGTTCTCTGTATAATGTGAGGTAGCAATCTGCTGAGGTAGTCTTTGAACCTTTTTTGCAGGCTCCTACACTTCCAGAACTGTCATTAAGTTTCACCTCTGATGACTGGCTTACACTGTTACATTGTGCGATATCACTGTCAGGAAAGCGTTCTACAGCCTCCTGTATGTTCACCACTGCTGAGACATCACTTTCTCCACTAAATTGCTTGTGCCTAAACTGACAGAACCTAAGTCAGCCAAAACTTCAGAAAGAACTGACTCACAGAATTCCAGTCATGGCAAGATAGAGTGTGCTGATTGTTCAGATTATGGTATTCTGGATTTTGACTCTACGTAGCCTTGTAGGTGAACACCGATGTTTTGGAGGAACATGGTGTCTCCATCTTCCAGGTCCATTTGACCCCCAGGTGGGGGTGCATTTTCTTCTGAAATGTTGGTGTCAACTGTTACTACACAATTTCACGATCTGAAACTGAAGGTTGCTACATGTGTCAAGGTTCCTTGAATGTTGTAGGTACAGCAGTGGAGTACATGCATTTTGTACAAGTGCACAGGGACTTAACAAATGGAATGCTAGTGGTTGTGAAAGAAGTTATGTATTTATAATGTAACGTTTCTTGTCACTGTGCTGTGTGTAAACACGTGTTAACATGTTGCTTTCAGTTTATCACAGTTTTTTCTGCCAGTTTGGAAAGACAAAAATCTTTGTTACCAAGAAACCAGAAGGTTATGGTTTGGTATGTCATCGAGCAATCAGGACTGCATGTGAAGTAATTGGTATAAAAGATCTCTATGCAAAGATTGAGGGCTCCACTAACCTGCAGCACATTATCAAGGCATTCTTCATTGGGCTACTTCAGCAGGTAGGTTTGTTACCAGAGTGTAACTACTATGTCAAGTTGGTGCCTGTCTCCAAAAACTGAAGAATACTGTGGATCCCTTTTAAGAAGTTTCCAGGGGACCAAGAAATATAAACTTCTTAAGTGAGAAATTATCTTAAACTCGTAGGCTTCAAAGTGTTTACAGAATTAATTATCTCCCTTGCAGAAAACAAGATGATAAATGCGTGAGTTTTAGTGTTCATGTTTAGTGACACACATGCAAAGTTCCTCACAAATGAAATCCACTATTGCACTGCAGTTACATCTGCCTTGGCACACGGTTATGTGACATGAAGAGGAAGTTACGAAACTGAAGATGCTGCTGGGAATGAGGAATGTTGTCAGCCTCATCACAAACAAGCCACACACACCAATTTTTGGTCTGTTGGGAGGGAGTAACTCCATGCAGTGATGTCCTTGAGGAGCCAGGAGTCACTCAGCTACTTAAGAATTTCACAGCATTTTTTGCAACTAGGGGATTCATTAATATGTTTACAAGAGCCTGCCACTGATCCTTATCCCAAACCAGATGAATCCAATCCATACTACCCCATTTTATTTCTCTAAGATCCATTTTAATATTATCCTCCTACCTACATCACAGTCTTCCTAGATATAAACAGTAGGAATTAAAAGATCCACATGGTAAAAAGGAAGAAGGGAACAAAACAAAAAAAATGATAAAATGGTGATATCTGGTATCTTTTCTTTGTGCATTACTTTATGATGCTGTCAGTATGTAGACTCTGTAACATGACTGTTAACTATGTGCAGTAAGTAATTTTAACACATACATAGGGCAGTCAAAAAGTTCCCGTAATTCCCCTGCAGATGGAGAACGAGCTAAAAGCTAGTGCACACGTTGTTGTGGGAAGCTCAGCATGTCTGCTCGCAGGCGCAGCAGGTCTGGACAAGTTTCAGTGTGCAGTGTCATTACTGTTCCATATGAATTAGATGCGAGTGTTGGTCATTCGGCGCAATGTCGCAGCTCAAACAGCATGCGAACATCAAGTTCATATGCAAATTTGAAAGATCTGCTTCAGAGATGCTGTCAGCCCTGCAGCAAGTTTACGGTGATACTGCACTAAGGAAATCCACAGTTTACGACTGGTTTTCCCAGTTTAAGAATGGGCAGGAGACGTTAAAGGATGACCAGCGCAGCGGGAGACCTTCAACATCGAGAACCGAAGAAATGATTGGAATAGTGCAACAACTGACTCGATGTGATCAAAGAATGACCATTGGAGAGTTGGAGCAAGAAGTTAGTACTGTTACTGGCCACATCTACCTGCAAGTTTTGCAGAGGTTGCGCGATGCGGTTTGGAGAAAGCAGTGCGACAGTTGGCAGGGACAGTGGTTTCTGCATAATGATAATGCACAGAGCCACAGATTGCTTGTTGTGCAGCAATTCCTCGCTGAGAAAAAAACACCGTACTCTCCAGATCTCACTCTGAGTGACTTCTGGCTGTTCCCTACTCTGAAAATGGGCCTCAAGGTGGCATGTTTCACAACCATGGAGGACATCAAATCGAATGCGACAGCTGAGCTCCAGAAGATTCCAAAAGAAGCCTTCCACCACTGCTTCCAACAATGGCAAGATCAATGGAGCAAGTGTGTGTGCGCGCAGGGGTCCTACTTTGAAGGTGATTAGGTAAGTGATGCTGTATGTCCTACCATTAGAGTGCTCTACCACAATTCCGGGAACTTTTTGACTGCCCCTCGTATATTGGATTCCCACGAGGCTGTTCATTGTGCCCAGTCACAAACAAGAGCAATCAAAGCTCATCGTTAGAAGGACCAGCAACAAGCAACATGCACTGACTGTTTTCACCGTTCCCCACACAGTCCATGCTGGGACAGACATTGCTGACTTCCTGTTCCCTCTTCAGTATGCAGTGAGGCAGCCCACAGCTTGCTTTGCATATAAATATAGCATGCAGATATGAAACTCATCTCATCAGCCCCAGATAATGGAGATAGACAGTCTCTGAAACATCAGACAGTAATTCCATAATGACACAGCTGTTGATCCAAAAAGACTTTTGCCCGGGCACATNTCAGTATGCAGTGAGGCAGCCCACAGCTTGCTTTGCATATAAATATGGCATGCAGATACGAAACTCATCTCATCAGCCCCAGATGATGGAGATAGACAGTCCCTGAAACATCAAACAGTTACCATGAATGTTATTTTCCAGAAATTCTGACTCATGATGGAAGTGAATCAGTTAACGATTATGAAGACTTCAGCTGAAAAAAAAAGAGCTCATGAATGAACTTCATATCACATATAGCAGATGACAGCATAATTTGTAGTGGAACCAAGTGCCAAGGCTACTTTGACACTGGATTCAGTAGCATGAGCTGCAGTGTCATCACCAATATTGCACAGGGAAGAATGAAGTTTAATAAAGCTGAATACTCAGGATATTGTATGGTTTTTAATATTTTAGAAGTTAACTTTGTCCTAAGCAGCTAGATCATTTCCTGGCCATGACATAGGACTAGTAATCTCATTTATGCAGTTGTTGCTATGTTTGGCCTCTTTTGAAGTGCTCTGACATTTGTTATTAATATGTTGTTGTTGCTTCTTGTTACATTCATAGAAAACACACCAAATGCTAGCAGAGGAGAAGAAGTTGCATGTTGTTGAGTTTAGAAAGGAGAATGATTACTTCCCCACTGTTGTGGCATCTCCGCCAACCTGTCGTACTCAGGAGGAGATCAAACCAAATGAAGTCATGGACTATACACAGGTAATGTGCCAAGCGGTAAGCAGGTGCTGTGAAGAAAGGAATTGCAAAAAGTGGATAAATGTTCCTTGTAATAACAATCAAACTAATATGATTTGTGAGTTGCCATGTCTTAAAAATATAATTCTTTGTTGTAAGCTTTGAACTCTATTCCATACACACAAGCTATGATTGTTGCCTAATTCTGTTGTACAATTTCTTTCTGGTCATCATTTACCGAATGGGAACCAGAATAGCTCAGTCAGTATAGTGACTAGGCTACAGGCCAGATAACTCAGGACTCTGTATGGTTTAATTCCCAGCAGTTGTAACTAGACCAGCTATGGGGTCTGCTGAGCCTCCTGTCCATTAGTACTGGAGTAAATTTCTCCAGGGGTAAAGCAGCCAGTTCATAAAACTGATCACTCACCTCCACATAGTGCAGAGGTTATTGTTGCATGGAGATATTCTCCACTCACTCATACATCTTCATGACATGATGCTTCAGTAAGCACAGGGACAACTTTACCTTTACCTTGTCAGTTTCTGAGTGCTCACTTATTTGGCTCAGCCACCAGTAAATCAACATCTTCCCAAAAACTGAGGAACAAAAAACACAGACATTTGTTAAAAGAAAAGGTAAAGCTATCCATGTAACAGGCTGTGAAGGCCCATAGCGTTGTGATATGTTGAGGCTCCCACATTTTCTTGACAGTCAGCTCACAGAGGGCGGTAAGGCTGTCAGTCTTACATGCCAGCTTCCCTCTACCCGCCAGGAATATTCCTGGCATTCATTTCTGTTAGAGGCTGAGTTGAACCCAGGGTCATAGAGCGGCTGGAAGGATTAGGTAAATTGAAATAATGAACCTCATTTGGACTCAAAACCATGACCTTCCGGCTTGTAGCATAGTGCCTTAACCAACTACACTACTGCGGAATGGCCATACCATGTTGAAAATACCGGTTCTCACCTGATCACCGAAGTTGAGCAACATTGGGCGTGGTTAGTATTTTGATGGGTCACAGACATTCGTAATTTTAAATTTTATAAAGAATGAATTCCATTGGCTGCTGGTTTATGTGTAAATTATTTTTCACAGTATGCACTGGGGGATCGTGTATTTCTCAAGAAGAAGAAAGAACCTCCATTTTTTACAAAGCTACCATCATGGGAAAACTACCTCAAGAAGTCACAGTACACAAGAAACAGAGACAAGGTGGGATAAATGCTGTTTCTTACATGGATATAGTTTAGAGAATTGGAGGATAACCTAACTCTTTAGTAATCAAATCTGAAAGAACAATGCTGCCAAAACTGAAGTCCGTCATTGGACTTAATTGTGAACCTTCACAACCGTTTTCCCATTAATATTACCTTCTGAGTTTCAAGTGACTGCCTTCCAAGATATTATTACACCAAAATTTTGTACACTTTTCATTATTCTGTCATTGAAACTTACTATAGCAGCTTTCATATACAGGAACATTATTCTGGCAAGTCTCGAGGATTCATTCTATGTCAAGTCAACATATTAAGAGTCACTCAAATATGGGACAGTCTCATATATATATTGGATACCTTTTGTAAATACATGTCTCACCAGTTTTTTACACGAATTCTGCTCTCAGCAACAGAGGCTTCACCATAAAATGCTTGAGGCAGCATTGTATGTATGTGACCCAGAGCTGTATCTAGTGGCAGGCTTTGGAACTGGCAGTGATCGTTCGATTTTGCTACCATGCATTCAGCTGATTCTCTTTATGTAATGCATATCTACGAACTTTGCACCCTCCTAACAATATTGTGACATGGATGGCGCAATGCTCGTTAAACACCCCCTCCCCTGCGGTGCTGTAACAGCGGACACTGCGGTTGCTATGCAACAATAAACAACTCTCGGCATCGTTGCCCAGCAGCGCCTTTGTAAACACGGCATCACGCAACGGGGGAGCCCGTGCAACAACTGTTGCTAGGCAATCAGTAAATATGATGTTATGCAACAGTCGTATCTATCACGTAACTGTTTTCTGTGTTGTCCATGCCGAGCCTAAATGAGGAGCAGCAAACACTATTCAGTTGTGAGTGAGTAGTGAATATTGAGCCAGTTACTATAGAGTAATGAGTCAGTTGCAGTGTAGCATTTGCCAGAGTGAATGGAAACAGGAGAAGTATTTGTGACACTGCAGATGGCAGTACTTGTGTAATTGTGAATTGTGTAAATGTGAGAGCGAGTGTTCAATAAATTCGCTAGATCCAGAACAGCATGAAGTTATTTGTCACGTGAAATATACCCAACATGTGACAATATAATTAACTTTACAACTGCTTGGCACACATTTTGACTGTTGATTGCTACTAATGTAATTGATATTACCAAAACTTATGAATTGCTTGTGGACAATATTAAGATTTATGCAAGCCCCAATTTATAAACATTATATTAAATATAAGTGAAGGCAGCTGGGTGAACAAGAGGAGCTACAGCTCATATTTACGTATTTAATGACAGGATCTCAGTAGTGTCAAGTGGTAGAATGGTTAATGAACTTGAAAGAACATGGATGACTGGGTTTTCATGATTTTCCACAGCCCTTCGAAGCAAATGTTCTGACTGAGTCATGAGTGTGCCCTTCCATATCCTTTTCAATTGTGGTATTCACCAGTGAACCTATTACTCAATGCTGTACAATCTGAGATACTGACAGAATCCTAAAATGAACTCCAAGAAAGGACGTGGAAAGAAATCATGTCTAATTGAGAATTTGCATGCAGAAACTGAGCAAAACCACAGTCACATTATCTGGTCTTCTGGCTAAGGTTTTAAGTGAGCACCTACTGAATAAAAGGAGTGTTACTGTGTGACTGATCCTGCTCACTAGGATGTATCTTGTGGAGTTTCTGCCACTATCTCCTCCACATGGTGCACCTTGTTTTCATAAATAAGGCTATGGAAATCAAGTGATGACATTGTAACTATTACATCTATTAAGAGAATATGTCTCTACCAAATCCCATATGCCTGAGTCACAGTAGCACATTCATGGCATGTGTGGACAAAGTGCTGCAAGCCAGAAGCCGGTTGAATAAATATTAAGTTCTTTAACCCTATGACTTTGGAGTGTGTTGGAAGCATGAATACCCTTGTAAGCTGAATTGATTTGGAAACTTTTACATCTCAAGCAATTACTACTTAAAAAAATAATTGTTACATCACACCATGTCTCAGTATGGAACTCCCATGCTCAGGAAATTCGTATGAGGCAGTTTCAGTATACAGCATGAGAGCCTCATTTTGCCACTCTTTACACAGAAGTAGTTAAGCAAGCAACGGTGAAATGCTTGCTGTCACAAACAGCCTACTCTTTACTGGGCACTGGTAGAATCATACAAATAATTTCACATGCTGGTCTAAAGACAGCACAGTATGTCCCTGGGCGTAGTGAAACACTTGTGTCAGGATGTCCCATGCATAATGGTTAAAGCACTAAATTTATGTTCTTCCTGATAGTCTCATAAAAATATACCACTTACAACCTTGAACCCAGAGTGTTATCATCCAAGTAAATAAATTTTAGATACCAGTAAATTAATCAAAGATTTGTTAAAGATATGGGTATTGTATAATTCATAATTAAATACATTACCTTTTTCAGGTTAAAGTTACTTTGCTGGCTGAATATGGTAAAGTCCAGAGTTTCTATGCTGAAAAATATCCTGAGTGTGTACATGGATATAGAGAACCAGAAGAGACATAAGCAGAGTGATAGCATCCAGTGAGTATTAATAATAACTACTCTGTTTAGTGAGCGAGGTGGTGTAGTAGTAACAAGCATAGCATTCAGAAGGTATCTGATTAGATTCTTAACTGAATTAGTGGCTGTTCTGCAAGTTGTCATGGTTTTCTCTCAGCCTCTTCAGGCAAGTGTTGGGACAGTGCCTTACCTACATAGGGTTCAAGAGAATTATGGTGGCATTGTCTATATGAAATTTTTATGAGTTTTATGAAATGAAATTATGTATGCAGGATGTGTTACAGAGAATTTGCAACACTATCAGGCTAATTTATTACATACGAGGGTTGGAACTTTAATAGTGGCAACTATTTATTTACAACTGATACAAAATAGATGGGTGTTTCGAAGTTTTACTGTCCTTCAATGCAAACACCAGCATTGTGTACAACCCATTGCCAGCGATGTGGAAGTTGTAGGATACCTTTAGCAGGACCTGTTGTGTTGATAGTTTGAATGGAGCGGTCTACTGCCTGAAGAATCTCTGGAACAGTTCTGAAGCGAATGCCACGATGTGGTTCCTTCATCTTAGGAATCAAGTCAGAGTCACAAGGGCTTAATTCTGGGGAGTATGGTGGATGGTACAGCACTTCCCAGCAGTTCCCACTTTGAACAAATCAGCCACAGCTAGCGCTGCATGTGGCCAAGCATTGTCCTGCAAAATGATGGGTGGGTTCTGCAGAAAGTGCCACCACCACTTTCTCAAAGCTGGTCACAGGTTGTGTTCCAAAAATGAACAGTAATACTGCGCATTGATGGTCTGCTGTCGGGGAAAGACTTCTTCACTGACACTAGGACGACCTGGCCGACGCATGTCTGCCACATTTTGGTGTCCCTCGTTGAAGGCTTTTACGCACCTGGCCACTGTTCTGTAAGGCAATGCAGATTCCCCGCAAGCCTCTTGAAGACCTTGATGATACTATCGTGCTGTACGGCCACTGGCAGATTCAATCTCTATCCAACTCTGTTGTTCCTGTTTCGAAAACATCGTGACAGCACTACATTAGACCGCCAGCTAACATGAGGCTCTGTTCTTCTCTTCACTGCGCGTGTGCGTGATTTTGGAAGGGAGATTCCATTTGCTGTGAGGTAAGGTAGGTATGTAACTAACGTGTGGTATAAGTGACATTATTTGGTTCCATTGCATGGCGTGTCTACAGCAGTGTTGCCAGTATTAAAGTTCCAACCCTCGTATTTTAAGTGTTCAGTCTTTAGTAGTAACTTTAAAACACAATGACCCCTTGCGTAATGACTTTCATGTATTGATTTAGACAGTCCTGTGTGAGAAACTGATAGTAATTCAGCTGATCAGAAACTTCCCTTCTTTTTATGGAGGGGTTCACAAAAGCCCAACACTAGCCCATTCTTGAGCCAGCTGAATCTAGTCCACATCACATCATATTTAAGATTCATTTTGACATTCCCCATCTATGCCTAGGTCTCTCTCCTGTCTTTCAAATTATGTGTTTCTTACCTCTCTGATCCGTGCTGCATGACCTGCATATCTCATCATCCTTCATTTGTTCACCCTGATGAAGGCCCTTGTTACAATTTTCTCCTCCATCCTCCTTTTACTTCCCTGCCTTTGAATCCAAATATTCTCAACACCCTGTTCACACACCCATATAAAACAAGAGTTAAAATTACAATTTTGCATATTTTAATCTTAGGTTTGTAAAGGGGAGACTGGAAATAAAAGATTTTGAACCGACTAGTATCAGACAATCAGTAAATTAAATCTGCTTATATAGTATGTAGTATGTAGTTATAATTTGTCATTCCCAAATGTTTGAATTTTGTCACATATTCAAAGAAATGGACGAGGGATACTAGATATATAATCTACCTAGTCATGAAGAACTTGAGATTGAACAGATATGTCTTCACTGTTCCTCAACACAGCCTTCCTTGAGTTTAACACACTTCCTGTATTTCATGAACAGAGAAGAAATCCCTGAAACAGCACATTTAAGATCCTTGTTTCTTGAATATAAATGTCCATGTAGGTGTGTCACCAGGTATCCGAATTGAAAATAATCGCCAGTGGTCAGGTCTGGACTGTAGGGCGGTTGGTTTAACCTTTAACCTTCGGACTTCTGAAATGATGGTAAGCTTGTGCTGGCCGGAGTTTATTTAAATGCCCGTTGCTACTCTGCATTTAAATGTCCGTTCCTGTTAGGGTGCTTAAACAATTTTAAGCATTGTGTTTAAAAATGCTGTATCTAACTCAATTTTTATGATAAATGGATGGAATTAACTTTGTTTGTATCAGCAAAGAAATAGTGTCGCATATTATAATGGAAGATTTTAAGAGTTATACACTATTTTCAGTTGTTTTCTTTTAATTTTGATGCGTACTGCAAAAATGGTTTCCCAGTTCTTCACAAAGTTGTTCTGTATTATAAATTCATTTCTGTTTGTAACACTTGACAAATTTTAGCAGTCCCTGGTACCATAAAACATATGGAAGCAATAAAATCATTTGGTTCTCTGCTGGAAAACCTTACAACTTTGTTACACCCTTCAGATTTTCAAATCTTTTGACTAAAGGACAGAAGAATGAAAGCATGGGTATTCAAGAAAAAGCTTTGAGGGGTCCCTTCTTCAGTGCTAAGACCTTCCGTTGTAGCTGCAAGAGATTATTGCCCTTTCTATTGTCGCGAATGGACAGTTGCATTGTGACTGAGTTACAGAGTGCGATCTGTTTTCTGTGCGTTCATAGTGAAATAGAATACTGTAGTTTCATTTCAACTTATAAATACTTCAAGCAGATAACAATGAAAAAGATATGCACATTGAATTTTACTACATATTTTTAACACATTAATCTGCAATAAAAGTACTGGTTTTGTGGATAAGTTTGGACATAACTCATACGTATACTCTTTTTTTGCTGTTGTTCACTTAGGTATCATTTTACTCAAGTCTGTCTTGTAATTACTACATATAAAAATAAGTACTAAGGACTGTGCATGCACTTCTACTAGCGGCATGTGCGCGCGCTTCCACTAGCGGAGTTTAAATGCCCGACTGGCCAAAATGGGATACTTTGGCCGTGACAACCATACTCATCACTGGCCCAATTGGGGCACTTCGGATGTTAAAGGTTAATTACTCAAAGGCACAGTCACTTATGGCAGATATCCCTCATCACCTTCTGTCATCATTTTTCTTGATGGTCTACATCAAATTCCAAAATGCCCCATGACCTTTCCAGCTAATGGTGATATCTGAAATTTCTTGAGAGTGAATGAACCATGATGTATCCATTATGTGGCCTCTTGTTTTACTTCAGAATATCACTGGTAGATCCATCTTCCATCATATGTGACAATTGCAGCTAAAATGTATGGTTCCAACAGACTGCATTGTCAAGCAGTCTGTTGAACCCATCAGACACATGCCCTGCATAGGTCTTTCTGTGTTGGGGACATTCCCAGAGAAGTCATTTTCACTGGCCTTCAAGGTGGAGCTCATTTATGATAGGTTTTTTACCTCACTGGAAATGCTTAGACTAATATTTTGTTTCAAGTTTTGAACATGTAGCATCACTGTACATAGCCAGCATCCGTTGATGAACAACATTTGATCGGTTTCCATTTTTTGTGACAATTTTGATGATGGATTGATGCTCTAGCCTCATAGAATTCATGTTTAAATCTGAGGAAGTTAATTTATACGGTGATGAAGTTTTAAATGGACTGAGCTAGAATTACATACGCAACATGCAAAGGCATGTGTGAACAGGTTATAGCATGTTTCATTGTAATACAATTCTAACATCTAGACTAGGTAAATTACACATCTGGTGACCCTCATATTTGCTGTCTTTGTATTATGACTTTGTTCTGGATTCTAATGAGAGATGGTCTTGAGGCAAGACCCTGTAGACTTGTATTTGGGAAGTGCTCAGCACAGATCTCAGCAAGGATATACTGGCAACCCTGGTTGAGGTTTTTGTGGTGTTCCTCAGTCCCTCCAGGCTTATGCCAGGATAGTACCTTGGTTAAACCACAGCCACTTTCTTCCAAATCCTTTTCAGTTCATCATCATTCATCTGTCATATTACAATCTGATGCTATTAGTCTTGGTACTAAAAACACCATTAAATAAACCCATATATATATACACATATACACACACACATAAAAGAACTGAACAGGTTCTTAAATTTCTGTATTCACCAGTAGAATAACTTACTTTCTAGGATGTACCAGAGTTACATGTAAGTGTGTATCACCTCTGTGCCATTGCCATGCTTTAATGGCATAGGGACAACTTCCAGTCACCCCAAGGACTCCATCACCCTCTCTGCCACCATATGAAGTATCACACCTACAATGTTCTTGTCTTATTTTTACCAGTTTTTGGCAAATGCTCTTTGATAAATTGTATGACATGAAAATGTAATGCATTTGAGTAAACAAATTTTTGAAGTAATGAGAAGCTTATAAAATACAGTCTGTAACAAGAAGTTCTGGGAAAAATTAATTGCCTACTTTCCTTTAAGTACAATATGAGTATTTGATATGACAAATAGAAGAAAAAGTACTTTAGTATGTGTGTGGAATGAAATCACCTTCATGTGTTTATTTTATGTCCATCATCATCCAGTGATATCTTCTTCCCCATTTTTCATTACCCTTCCATAACTGTGCCTCTGGTATTTGTGTCCACTCTTTCCCTGCTCATGTTTTATATATCTTCCCCATTTAGTGTCTCTTCTTCATCCTTGATCCTGTAGCGGTTACTTGTTCAAGGCCTCAGTTCATTCTATGTAATTTTATTATTGTCCATGTGCAGCACATCTTCATACCATTATTTTTCATTTCACCATCGTTTCTTATATAGTCTCTAATTTCAGAACTTGCTTAATGCCATGGGTTTTTATTATTTCCCTTGTTTGTGTCATATTACTCTGTATAAATGTAATGCACTTATTATATCAGACCACTCTAATTTTGATGTTTATAACATTCTTCGAAAGATTTTGTGTGGTATCATTTGTTGTTTTGTCCTCTATTTATTCAGCTTCTCATTTCATACTTCTCAGAAATTTCATCTTAGCAGACTTGGTTCATGCTGTTATTTGAAGTCGGAAGTAATTTTTGGTATAACGTAGATGTAAAAATGTTTTCTCTTTCTCAAATGTTAATTTTTTCTTAATGGCACAATGTTAATGGAATTTCAGGCTCTTCGTACAGACTGAAGATTCCTAATTCAAGTACCAGCTGGACTCCCATAGATTACAAATAAATGCACAAAAAACATTTATTATTTTAAACTTTGTTAACATGTGAAATAAAGAGTATGTTGTTTAATTTGAGGTTTTCATAATGATGAGTATTTATATTGTGATTTCAGGGTTATGTCTGTGTAGTCTGGGAGGTGGGTATCAGCATTTCAGACAAACATACTGCCTTACAGTGTGTTCCTTCAAAACCGTTGTACCCACCCATGAGATAACACAGCAGAAGAGCACAATGAAATACCTTACTGTGCTTGCAGCAGTTTGTATAATAGAGATGGCAAAAATTACAATAAAAATGCATGACTAATGAAACTTTTTTAATGTGATTTCTGCCAGTGAGTGGAGCTCAAAATGTCTTAGTTCAGTTATCAAAATAATACATCTTTTCTTCAGGAATGTCATCCTTTCTCTTCTAATCCTTGACATGTCATGATGTTAGGAGTCTAAATTATGTATAAGTTATTTTACAAACATTTTTGTTTTCCAATAAAAGATTGATGCAAAGACATTGCACATACAAAGGGAACCAAATCCAAGTGACCCACCCTTAATGAGACCTCCTGTGGTTCTCTTCCCCACCACAACCAGTGCATTAGCAGGCAGCACTGTATGGACTTTCCAATGTAAGCACACAGGTGATCTTCTGACCATGAGTCCTACTTTTGTAACAAAGGCTCACTTTGTGCCCACACTATTAGCTGGCTCAGACCTACTCATTGAAGGCTGTTTCTCATGAACAAATGTGATTGAAGGACGGTTAGGTACACAGTGGAATGACCCATACTTGAGACATTTTTCTAAAGGAATAGTCCTAGAAGCAGCGGGTACATAAGTTTTGATGTCATTATCCAGGGTCTACATGACCATTAAAAATTGTGTTCTGAAATTATTTAGCAAGTGATGAGAAACAGGTTCCAGTCTTGATAAAAAGAAATGATACCCAAGCATGCTCTCACAGAACAGAGACTTGAGGGCATTCAAGTGAGAATGGAAATAAGTGCAAGAAGATCATATCAGCTACGATAAGAGTGTGGCATATCAAAAGGTTCTGTTTTGTGAGGTCTTGAATCTCTTAGATTGTATCCTTACAAAGTGCCAGTGGTCCAGAAGCTGAATCATGCAGATTCAGTTGTGTGCATAAACTTTTGTCATTGGGCCCTACAACCTGTCCATGACAGCATCATTCATTGACATTCCATAATATCCTTACAAGGTTGAGATAACCAATAGATATAGAAATCGTCCAGAAATATAAACTCATCTTGCTTAGATATCAAGCAGTTGTCAAAAATAACAAGTTTATAGTACAATGGGGTACCCAAAAGAAACCGAACTAATTTTTTTGTGGGCAGAGCTTTTGTAGTACCGCGTTTTGCCGCTATGAGCGCATAGAGCTAACATTCCTGAGTCGATAAGCCGACTACCGTTGCTTCAGAAGGTAAGGACTAGTTTCGGCAGAGTTTATAGTGACAACTGTTTTGTGTGATCGTCGTTTTTGCAATGGCTGATTTTTGTGAAGAGCGTGCGGCGGTGAAATTCTGCTTTTTGCTCGGGAAAAGTGGAACAGAAACTCTTGAAATGTTAAAAAC